CATTTAATTTTTGTTTAACGTTATTAATAAAAATGTTGTTCAATTAGCATGTTTTTGTGTTTTGCTTTGGTACTGAAATTGGTACCGAGAACCGTGGATTTTCACTGGTATTGGTACCTAATACTGAAATTTTGGTACCGTGACAACACTAGTTGTAACATAATGAAAAAATAACTATGTAAAATAATTAATTTAAATACTATATTTAGATATTTATCCATTTATTTTTCATTAATAAAAATACAAAAATTATTCATTTAGATAATATATTTGTATACATTTATCAATTTATTTTTCATTAATAAATAAAAATAAATTTAAATACTACACTTGGACATATTTAACTTTTTAATTTTCATTACAAAAATAAATGTTAAAAAATTATTAAAATACTATATTTAAATATATTTATCCATTTAGTTTTCATTAATTAAACATTATAATAAAAAAGAAAAATAATACATTCTTTTAAATGCTATACTTAAAATGTATTTATTTTAATTTTCATTAGAAAAAAAATATTCATTTAAATACCACATTTGAACAGATTTCTAATTCATTAAATAATTCATTTAAGCACTGATATTTGAATATATTTCTTTTTAATTATCATTAGAAAAATAAATAAATAATTAATTTAAATACTATACTGGAAAATGTATCAATTTATTTTTCATTAATAAAAATTATTTAAAAAAGGAAAATAAAATAATTTAAATATTATACTTGAACATATTTTTTCATTTTAATTTTGAATATACTTATTTTTCATTTATATTTTTCATTTGATTAAAATGTATTTAAACACAAATTGCAATTAAATAAATGAATATGAATATTTGAAGTATATTTACAAAACAGAAGTACGAGAGTGACTCGACTCGGTTGCACAATTCGTATTTGTTATTGGCCATAACATCTGGATCAGAAACCTTTGTGAAGTCAAACTCACCTAGTTTGAGGCTAAGGCCGATCTTGGGCCGGTTCTCCTCCTGGAGCGGGTTCTCCGGCGGCGAGTTCTCGTGAGGGATGATGATGCCGCAGGGCGACTCTTCTCTGGGCGTGTTGGGCGTGGCGTTTCCGCTCGCTGAAGACACAGAGGGGGCGGACATGATGGGCCGCATGGTGGGTTTGAGGCAGGGTTTCACCTCCTCTTCGTCCTCTAGCTCCTCCCCTTCCTCTACATCATCGTCTGAGGGGACGGGAGTGTGAACGTGAACGTGAGCATGAGCGTGAGCCTTGCGCCAGTCTCTCTCCCTGCCTCTGTCAAGCTCTTCTCGAGAGGGCTTGTGCTCTCTCTCCTCCTCGGGCTCGGGCTTCAGGGGCGGCTGCCGCAGACGCTCTGCCTCCTCCTCCATCTGATGAACACAAAAGCAAAACAGTGAGCACTTTGGCTCCAGAAGTACTAAGAAGGCTTTAAGCCACGATACACAAGTCAGCACTGAGATGAATCACTAAACAAACTTTGATTTGAAACAAGTATTTGAAAAGCAGAAGACGACAAATAGTCCCATGAAACACTGGAAATGACAAAAAAAAAACGTGTGTATGTATAGTAGGGGTGTGCGATATTGACAAAAAATAATATCTCGATATTTTCTGGGATTTTATCGATGACGATAATTAGACGATATTTTGCTGAGTGTGTTATTGTGCTGGTACCTTAAGGACTGCCGAAGACAGCTGACTCCTAATGTTTTTAATATTCTTAATATTCTGTGTGGTGGTCAGTTCATACTGATAGAAATGAATCTTTTCCAATAAGTTTAAACAGATTTTTACATTTTATGGGCATTTTTACCTTTATAAAGCCAATTTTTCTAGAAGTGTCCATTATCTTTTGAGTCAAATTCTTACATTTAATCAGGGAATTAGAATAATAAGACATTTGGGCTGTTACCAAGCAAATTAAATCAACACAGAAGTGGCATTTAGATGTATTTACACACATGTATTTTGTTTAATGCAAGACATGAATGCATTTAACCTGCAATTACAAATGCATAAATAATGTTTTGATATACTGATATTTGAAATGATTTAAAACATGAAAGAAATCTATAAAAAAAAAGAAAACGCCGAAATTTGAAATTAAAACCGCCAGCAGGTGGCAGCAAATCCCTCTTAATAAGGGAGTCATTGCGACTGAACCGAATTATTTAAAGTTTGACTCATTCAAGAACGAAACACCGTCATGTTGCTCAGAAACACAAAACAGCACTGTGGCTGTATTCGGGATGATTTTTGTTGGCGAAATAGAGCAAAAACAAGCAATATGGTGTCGGTGTCTAAAACGAAGTGAGTCATTGCGACTGAACCGAATCATTTAAATGGTTGATTCATTCGGAACGAAACACCGTCATTGCTCAGAGACGCAGAACTGTTCTGTGGTGACTATTTGGAATGATTTTTGGTTGGCGAAATGGAGCAAAAAACAGGCAATATGGTGTCTAAAACGTAAGTCTCTTAATTAACTTATTGTTTATTGAATTCAATGTCACATTTGTAATCATGGTAATTTTTGGAGAAAAACGGCACTCTTCGTGTGAAATTGAATACCTATATGAAGTGGTATAAATATATAAATTATCTGCAATCATGTCTTGAATTTGTGATCATTCTAAATGCATTTTAATAGACTGAATCATGCAGTGAAAGAAAACACACTAAATGTGCACACGCACTAGTCTAGACTTCACATAATGTATGCGTGCGCTCTGTAGGGATGTTTTGAATGGTTTTTGCAAAATACTCGATAATGTCAAATCGCACATCGTTAAAACAACAATTACGATATTATCGCAGACGATATATATCGCACACCCCTAATGTACAGATATATATACACACACACACACATAAGATTTATGAAATAATAACATTTAAATATTATATTTATCAATCTATTTTTCATAAATTAAAAAATAATAAAAAAAATATTTAATTTAGATACTATGCTTGAATATATTTATCAATTTATTTTTCAATACTTCATAAAACAATAAAATTACAATTGAATAAAATAACTGATTAGATTTAATTTATTTTTCATTAATAACAAATGAATAATTTACATGAAGTAATATAACTTATTTAAATACTACACATTAATATTAGTATCAACTAAATATCTAATAATTAATAAAAGCAATTAATAAAATTGAAACATGAAATTAAATTTTCAACACTACACTTGAATATATTTCTTTTTCATTCATTAATAAATTACTAAATTACTAAAATAATTTAGATGAATAATGTGATTCATTTAAATACTACATTTGAATTTATGTATCAAATTGTCAATAATAAGAAAATAATGAAATAAAATCATTTAAATACTACATTTGAATATATATGTATCAATTTATATTTTTATCTGATTTAAAGTGCATTTCAATAAATGCATCTGAATATCTGAAAGTATATCTGTGAGAGTGATGGAGCAGTAATGCGGTCTCGTGGACTCACCCTGCGCAGCTCAGCGTCTGGATCAGGATGTCCTTCTGCTAGCAGCCTCTGCCTGATCTCCTCCAGCTCTTCCTTCTCCCGCTTCCTGTCACGTTCATCCAGCTCCATCTCCTTCTCTCGGTCCCGCAGACGCTTCTGAAGAGCGCTGCCCCTGCAGGCAGAGCAGAGAAACAAACCATTTGGGTCACAGTCTCAGTTTCACAGACAGTCTGCACCATACTGTACTCAAAACGTCAAGAGACGACTGAAATCGACCGATGCAAAGCATACATGTGGTGCAGAGAACTCACCTGTAGTATTTTGGGTCGTCTCTGTCATCGTCATAGTCTTCCAGAAACTCCTTCAGCCGCTTCCCTTCTTTAGCCTGAGAAAACGATATGAGAGAAACATTCAGTAATTTAAACACAAACATTTTCCACATTATTTTTCCATTTATTAAATAACAAAAAAGACTTAATCGTTTTAAAAAATTATAATAATTCATTTAAATACTACATTTTAATATATTTACCACCTTATTTTTCATTAAATAAAAAAATAAAATATTGAAATAATAAAATTCATTTAAATACTATATGTGAAAATACTTATTAATTTATTTTTCATTAATGCAATAAAAACAATTAAATAAAATAATTCAATTATTATATTTGAATATATTTCTCGTCAATTTTTCATTATATAAATAATTAATAAAAAATAATGAAAAGAAAAACAATTTAATACCATTTAATTACTATATTTGAATATATTTGCCAACTTATTTTTCATCAATTAATGAAAAAATTATCAAATGAAAATAGTGAAATAATAAAATTAATTTAAATACTATATATTACAATATATTTATTTACTTTTCCATGAATAAAAATAATAATTTACAAATAATGAAATAAAATAATTATTTTCAATACTATATTTGAATATATTTATCCATTTTTTCCATCAATAAAAAAATGTATAATTACCAAAATAATTACAATACATTGCATACATTATAATACAATAATACAGTGCTATATCTGAATATATTTATCAACTTATTATTCATTAATAATAAAATTTATAATATTTAAATGCAATATTTGAATACAGTTATCAATTTATTTTGGAAACATTCTTCATATTATCCATATATTTTAGATCAGGCTGAAATGCCGATTTAAATAGATTAAGAAAAAAGTAGTTTACCATCTCACGCCGGCGTTCCTCCTCTCTCTCCATCTCCTTGCTGTAGTCTCTGGCTTTCTTCCTCTCTCTGAGCTCCCAGTTCTTCAGACGCTGTTGAGTAATTAAAGAAGGTAAATCATCTATCCAGACAGCTAATCATTCAATAATGTAATCAGAGAGACTGAATAGTCAGAGACGTCGTTCACCTCCTGATATGCCGCCTCTTTCTCTCGCAGCTTCCTCTCCAGTTTACGCCGTTCATACGCCTCTTCCTCATCTTCCTCACGATCACGTTTCTTCTCCTTATCTCGGTCTCTATCGCGACTCTGTTCTCTGAAAACAGACAGCGCCCAATCACGTGATATCTGAAGTTTGACATTTATTGTAGACACAGAACTTCAGTTTTTGACTCTAAAACTGAATATGTTGGCATATACATTTTGTAGCGCTACACAAAAAAAAGACAATAGTAATAATAAAATTGTTGTAAACAAAAGGATCATAAATACCGTAACATTTTGTATAGCTATGTATTTATTTACATTTATTGTATTAATGTCTAAATATAAATAAATTCAATGCTGTACAAACGAGATGTATAAAATGTTGATAAAATCTAATTAAATATAAATAATAAATTAAATATAATTTAATGTTAGTATAAATAAAAATTTACAATTTTATACAACAATTTGTATATTTAAACTAATAAATAAATATTCAAAAATATAAATGTATAAATATAAAAATATATAAATGTTTATAAATAAAATATTAAAATATAAAGGAGAAAATGTTCATATAAATGCATCAATATTTATTATAAATACCTTGTTAAAAGGTTATCAAATGCAGTTCAGCAATTTGTCTGTTTTTATTTATAAATATGAAGGTAAAATTATATAGAAAAAGAAATGCTAATAAAGAAAATGAGATGAATATAAATGAGAAAAGTCACTAGAAATATACATTTATGAATAAATACCTTGCTAAAAGGTATCAATATCTTTCAACAATTTGTATAAGTAAACAGAAGTGTATATATAAATAAATAGAAATTTAAAGGTTGATAAATTGAGATGATTATAATTGAGAAAATGTTAATATAAATATAAATGTTTAAATAAATACCTTGGTGAAAGATATTGAATACAGATTAACAATTTGTATATTTAGATTTATAAATATAAATAAATAAATGTAATAAATATAAATATTTATAAACAAATGTATAAAAAAAAAAAAAAAAATAATGAGCTGTAAGGTCTTATATAGACAGGTGTGTGGCTTTCCTAATCAAGTCCAATCAGTATAATCAAACACAGCTGGACTCAAATGAAGGTGTAGAACCATCTCAAGGATGATCAGAAGAAATGGACAGCACCTGAGTTAAATATATGAGTGTCACAGCAAAGGGTCTGAATACTTAGGACCATGTGATATTTCAGTTTTTCTTTTTTAATAAATCTGCAAAAATGTCAACAATTCTGTGTTTTTCTGTCAATATGGGGTGCTGTGTGTACATTAATGAGGAAAAAAAATTAACAAATGATTTTAGCAAATGGCTGCAATATAACAAAGAGTGAAAAATTTAAGGGGGTCTGAATACTTTCCGTACCCACTGTATATATATGTTCATAAAATAAGATAAATATAAATGTTAAGATTAAGTTAAAATGTTAATATATTTAAAAATAAAAACACAATTATTAAAAGGTAATGTATAGACCATTGAGCACAAGTGATGACTGATGGGGAAATGGGTGTAAAATGTGAAGTCCATGAATATATTCAGAAAACAACAAGCACTTGACGACGTGGCGTTTCATGTACCTGGATCGACTGCGGTCTTCGCTGCGATCGCGGCTTCTCTCTCTCTCCCTCTCGCGCTCTTTCGTGCGCTCGCGGTCTCGATCTCTCTCTCTCTCCCGCTCACGCTCCCGCTCTCTCTCCCGCTCCCTCTCTCGGTCCTTCTCCCGCTCGCGGTCTCGTCGTTCGCGCTCCCTCTCGCGGTCCTTGTCTCTCTCCTTGCGTTCCCGCTCCAGCTCCTGCCTCTCCTTCTCTCTCTTCCCCTTTTCCTCTTCCAATTTCTGTGGGAAAACGGGGAGGGAAGTTTTCAGATTAGCGACTGCTCATGCACAAGACAAGAGTCCAAGACACAACATCACTCTATGAGGAAGTGGTTTACAGTCCATTCACATATGCACTCATATACAGCCACCTAAAGTCTGAGATCACTAGAGTATTTAAATTATAATAATTATATTATCAGCATAACGACGAGTCAAATTTTGAATTGAGAAATGAACATGAATTTGATTAAGTCTCAGTATTTGATTTTTGTAATGCCAGCAGCACTACATGAACAAAACCTTATGATCATGTTATCCAGCATGATCTGAGATCAAGAGCATCTTTAGCTTCAATGGAAGCAAAAACATCTACAAAGAGTCACATGATTAAATACCTATTTGATTAGAAACATAGAAATAATGCAGAATTTTAAAAGTGAAGTCTGTAATTTAGATTTTTAATTTTAAGTTTGCAATTCCTGTTGGCGGTGCTTGTTTCTGCAACTTTCTCACAATTCTGAGAAAAAAAGTCGGAATTGTGAAATAAGTCGCAATTACCTTTTTTATTTTTTAGTTTGTGGTGAAAAAAAAAATGAATTGTGTGATGTCAACTTAGAATTCAGAGAAAAAAAAGTCCATTGCAAAATAAAATCGTGGAATTGCGAGAAGTCAAATTTAGAGTTTATATCTTGCAATCATATATACATCTTATCATTGCGAGAAAAAGTCTGAATTTAGAAATATAAACTCAATTGAGAATAAAAAAAATAGAATATAAAAATAAAAAAGGTGCAAGATATAAACTTGGAATTGCAAGTCAAAGTCTGCTGAACTATTTCATCAATTTGATTTCATAAACTTGCAAACTTTTCTCTCGCCATCTTATACACATCTTATATAAGTGCAAAAAAAGAGTCTGAAATGTGAGATATAAACTTGTGAATTGCGAGAAGTCTCCAGAATTCATTAAAAATATTTAATCGTCTAATTTTAATAACAAATTTGCTAAACTACTTGAATGAGTTAATAACTCTCAATCTTTTATATATATATATATA